TAAGAAAGAATTGCTTAGTGAATACAGCATGTAGTTCAGGGTGATCCAAATGTTCTACAATTTGATAACTGTGACCATTGTGAATGTATCAAAAGCACTGAATTATGCATTTTAAGATATTTTTTGTGTGTCTGTGTATGATTCTGTATGTACCTGTGTGTGTGTGTGTGTGTGTGTGCATGTGCACATGTGCATGCAGGTGGAATGGCATTGGATCCCCTGGAGCTGGAGTTAAGAAGGCTGTGAACTGCCCGATATGGGTGCTAGGAACTTAACTCTGGTCCACTGGAAACCAGCAAGCACTCTTAACCACTGCCATCTCTGCGGGCCCTGAATTATACCTTGTTTGTTTGTTTGTTTGTTTGTTTGTTTGTTTGTTTGTTTGTTGAGACAGGGTCTCCCTGTAGGCCCAGCTGACCTGGAACTTGCTATGTAGACCAGGATGGACTTGATCTCACAGATACCTGCCTGTCTCTGCTTCTGGAGTGCTATATTAAAGGTGTGTGCTGCCATGCCCAGCCCTGAACTGTGCATTTTTAAATGGTTAAAGTGACTAACTTCTTGCAAAAGAAAAGCTCAATAACTAAGATTTTCTAAAAAGTAAAACATAAAAATCAGCTAGGAATTCAACTTAACAGAGTCCCTTTTTTCTTTCGTTCTTCTTTTTCTAAACCCATAATCTGAAGTTGGACAACCAGGAAGACTATGAAAGGTCAAGCACGATGGCACCACTTTACTCCCAGAACTCTGGAGGCCAGCTTCCCAAACTCTGTGAGTTTGAGGTCAGCTTGGTCTACATAGCAAGTTCAAGACCAGCCAGAGCTATATACTGAGACTTTGCCTTATAAAACCAAAACTAAAACTAAACTAAACAAAAATTAAAGATTATCAATAAAAAATTAATTTCTGTCCTTCATTATAAACTCACATCATCAGACATGGAGACACAGGCCTGTAATTCCTGCGCTTGGGAGACAGAGGCAAGAGAAGGTGAATCTGAGGCCAAGCTGGGCAAGAGAGTGAGACCCAGGCCAGGTGTAGCTACAGAGCAAGACCTGGGCTTTGTGGGGGTGTTTTTGTTTTTGTTTGTTTTTGTTTTTGTTTTGTTTTTGTTAATTGCATCAATCAAAACCATTCTTTGAAAAAAATAGTTATCCCTGGCATTTACTTAAGACTGGATCCAGGGTAAGCCTCTCAGGACACTAACGCAAGGATAATCAATTCCTTTTCATAAAGCATGCAGTGTTTGCATATAACTTACATTCTCCCATATATTTTATATTATTTTGTTGATGCTGCTGGGGATTGAACCCAAGCTTCATGAAGGCTAAGTACATCTTTTACTACTGAGTTACTTTGCCAATTCCTCCTGTATACTTTAATCATCTCTAGATTATATATACCCAAAACAATGCAAATAGCATTACAGTTATACTGTTGCATTTGGGAATAATGATAGGAAAAATCTTTACATGTGGCAAAGACTTTTTCTATCAAGATCTATGTGGGGCTGGGGAGATGTCTGTCAGTAAAGTGTGTGCTGTACAAGAGTAGGGACCAGAGTTCAGATCCCCACATCCACATAAGAAGCCAGGTGTGATGGTCTGCATCTGTAATCCCAGCATTGGGGAAGCAGACAGGCAGATCCCTGGAGTTCACAGGCCAACCTGCCTAAATGAATCCATGAGCTCCAGGTTCAGTAAGAGACTCTGTTCCAAAAATAGGATAGACAGCAACTGAGGAAGCATTTGAAATCAAGCTCTGGCCTTCACACACATGCAGGCACACAAGTTCACATGTACATGCACACACAAACACACCACACACACGCACACACACACAGGCACACACGATCTGTGGTTAGTTAAATCCACAGGTATAAAACTGGTGGATGTCAAGAAATAACTGTATATGATTTCTTCTCTTTTTAAATTAAAATTTATTATTAATGAGTATGTATTTGCATGTGTGCTTACATGATCTCTGTGTGTGTTGAGTTCAGGCAAAAAGCCACAGCATGTGTGTGGAGATCAGAGAACAACTTTCAAAAGTTGGTTCTCTCCATCAACCATGGATTTTGGTAATTAAACTCAGGTTACCAGACTTGAGCAGCGAGCACTTTCACACATTCAGCCATCTTGCTGGCCGTGTACATGGTTTTAAATCAAAATGAATAATTTTCCTTATTAAATGCTAATATCAGTCCTAAGAGGGGTTTAAAGAATACTAGCTAGTCAATTGCTTAGCATCAAATAGTTTTAAGATTTGAAAAGTTGGCCAGGCATGGTGGTACACGCCTTCAATCCCAGCACTTGGGAGGCAGGGGCAGGAAATCTTTATGAGATTGAGGCCAGTCTGGCCTACATAGGAAGTACCAAGGCAGCTGGGCTATAGGGAAACCCTGTCTCAAAATAAACAAACAAGTTAAGTAAATAAATAAATATAAACAGCTACTCCACTATACTATGTACAATACACTCTCAAGAGTTTCTCACTCATTTTTACTCTTTCCATAGGAGTCTGGGTCTCTTTATATACTTACTTGGAGTTTCTCTAAGATAACAAAATGAGGGACCGTCCAAAGAGGTCAGAAATGCACCTGCACACCCTAGCATACAGACAGGCCTACATCCCTGGGAGCTTCAGAGAATTCTCTTGCCATTCAATCACTAGGTAGAAAAAGTACCTAGCCCTATCAATAGCCTTTCCTAAGCTCTTACTTCATGGCTGAAAAGCAATTGATAGTTTAAAAACCACTAAAGACATTTCCAAAGACATAAACCAAAATAATTACCTACTACATGTAAGTAGGGAGCCATGAAGCAAGAGTAAATCCACAGTGACAACAACAGGCCAGTTTTGCAGCAACTTTCTTTCCAGATGACACAAAAAACTAAAGGACAGTATGATTATAAACATCCTGATATGATTAGTCCTTATTATATTCAAAATGCATATTAGCCATTCTCATAAGGAAAAAAGGTACAATCTTTACATTTTGATATATTTTTCATGGCATCTAAGTCAACTGCCTGATTCAGATTCTCTGTAACAATTTTTTTCTCCCATGGGAAAGATGAACAATTGAATTTAAAGTCAATTGTTTCAAAACTTAGAAAGAATATGATGGACCGGTGTTTTAATACTTAAATTATTAAAATGTATTAAATACTGGGGCTGGAGAGATAGCTCAGTGGTTAAGAACACTGCTTGTTCTTGCAGAAGACCCGGGTAAATCCCAGCGCACCCACATGGCAGCTAACAAGTGTCCATAACTCCAGTTCCAGGGAATCTGACA